TATTAATTATTTAATTTAATTCATTTAATATTAAATTTAAAATTAATTTTTATTTTTTATATATATTTATAATAAAAAATATTTTTAATTTATACCTTAATCCTAGGGGTACAGGCTAGACCCTAAGAAATTTCAATAGTCCGCGCCCTTTCTCGCTTGGACGAAAACGGCAACGCAGGTCAATTTTGTAGAGTTTATTTTTTTTAAAATAAGTTTTTTAAATTTAATTTGTGTGAATGAAAAATAAATATTAAAAAAATTTTATAGGATTTAACTAAATTTAACTCTAAATTATTAAAACTTAACATGATTTTCAGACGTTGAAATTTAGTAAAAGTAAAAAATCAGTTTTTTGTCCCCGTACAAGCAAAGGTGGAGATGGGCAGAAGAGAGATTGAACGGTGAAGATGCGTGAAGGTGAGAGTCTAGGTTTTTGTGAAATTTTTGTATAAATAGGATGAAAAACAGTGAACAGAAGAGACTAAGACATGGGGTTGGCCGACAGCCACAAAAGGAGATCTTTGCGGGTTTTCATTCTCTCTCTGGTCCTAAGATTTTGGTGACTTTTTCGGCGTCGATTTCCTCTGAACTTTTTGAAAATAGGCAATGGCCTCTGAGCTTGAATCTAAGAGTAGAAATGGAACCCAAACCTGTGTTTCTAGGTATGGTTACTGTGCATTTTTAATTTCTATCAAGAAATTTTAATGAAGTTTTAATTAAAAAAATAATATATTTTGAATCATATAAAACTGCACTAAATTAATTATGAAATGAGGTTGAGTTATTTGATATTGAGGTTAATGAAAAGATGTCTAAACATAAAAAATATTAAAATATTTAATCATAATATTAAATATATTAAATATAATATAAATTTTAACATCAATTTTATTCAAAAGTTAAAAATTATATTAACATCGATTAATTTAAAATTAAATCACAATTAATTACATAAAAAATTTAAATGATTTTTAGTTTATTACTATATTTATTAAATTTCAATTTAAAACTTTATTTAAATTTTAAATAATATATCCACTCAAATGTATGACTTTATTTTATTTAGATTTTATTTAAGTCAAAAAATTAAATAATCAAATAAATAAAAAATCCTACTCAAATATCAAATCTCTTATTATATAAGCATGACATGGCAATATTTTGCCATCCAAGCAGCCAAGCGAGTGTGTCCTAAACGGCAGTTAAGCCAGGCAAGCGAGTCCCAAACGGCAGTTAAGTTGGCGTCAGAAGAAGGGCTTAATTGCTTTGATTGCAGAGTTGAAGGGCTTATATGCATCAATTAAAATTTAGTGACTTAATAACGATTCTGAGATTAATTTAGGAGCTTAACTTATAAATATTATCTTGTGGAATCTTACACACTTCCCAACTAAAGTATGGGATAATTTTTTTTATCCAATTCATCGAGCCCCGAGCAACATTACACTTTCATTATTTTTTTCCATTTAATCTTATCTAATCTTATTAACTTTATTTTATTTAGTCTTATTTTAATCTGCATTGCAAAGGCAGCTTTACGAGCAAAGGTTGAGATAGAGGGGAGAGAAAAGGTTAAGTATTTGTATGAATTAATATATTTTTATCTTCAATGACTTTTG